CTCGCGCCGGCGAGGCTGCCCGCGACGCTGGTGGGGCCGCGGCTCGGCTGGCGGCCGCTAGCCCCCAGGCTGGCGCGCGCCGCGCCCGCGCGCTCGCCGCGGCGCTCGCCAGCGCGGTGGCGGCACGCGGCGGCGGCCCGCGGCGGCGGCCCGCGGCGGCGGGCGACAGGGACGTCCCCAGACCCCCTTGGGTCAGAAAGAAGTCACCACGGGAGGTCTTTGGCAAAATTCGGCCTCCTGGGGGCCTCACCTGCCGGGCCCCGGGGCCGTCAAGGCAAGACTCTCGAAACAAAACTCCTCCCTCCCCCCCAAAAAATCAAAACCCTCTGATGAACGTTACGGCAGAATCGTGATGTCGGGGGTCTGCGTCGGGCGGCGGGGCGGCGGCGGCGGCCGCCGGGCGGCGCCGACAGCGACAGCGGCGGCCAGGGGAGGGAGGGGAGGGAGGATACCCAGAGGTCAAGTTTTTCGAAGGAGGGGAAGGAGGGGAGGGAGGGGAGGGGGGGGGAGGGGAGGGAGGATACCCAGCCGAGCGTGTTCGCACAATGTCGGCCCCTGGGCCCTCAAAGATCGATCCGCCTCGACACGTGGCGCAGAGAGAGGGGGTCTGCGCCTCCAGTCGTAGTGCTTCACGATGTTGCAGCGGGCTCGCGTCGTCGGGTCTCAGGAGAGAGAGAGAGAGAGAGAGAGAGCTGCGCTGCCCACTGAGGACCTCCAGGCCGGAGGCAGACAGAAGGAACTGATCGGCCACACGCGAGAGCTACCCTGGGCAAGAGTGGCCTTCGGTGCGCGGCTTAGCGGGGGGCGCGGGGGGGCCAAACCTGGGCGCGCAAGCCGCTGCTGCCGCGTCGCGTTCAGCGGTCGAGGGACCCCATGGGACCCGCACCAAAGGTCACTCTGGCGAACGGTCGCTCTTACGTCTGTGAAACTTAAAGGTTGGGTCGTCCATTCGACGAGGTGCCCTCGGAGGAGTCTTTTCGTCCCAACCTGGGTTCCATCCCCAGGCGACGCCCCCCCCCCCCCTTCCTCCCCCCCAAAAAATTGGCTCGCCTCGGGGGGGCGGGGTTCCCCCCTGCGCCTGGGCTGAGGAGGAGAGGGAGGAGGGAGAGAGAGAGACGGGGAGAAGGGAGAGGGGGGAGGGAAGAGGGAGGGAGAGGGAGGGGGAGGGAGGAGGGAGAGAGAGAGAGAGAGGAGGAAAAGGAGGGGGAGGACAAGGGAGGGAATGATCGAGGATCGAAGATCTAGGTTTTCGATGCCTTCGTGCTTTCGAGGCTCGCCCCTCCCCCCGCGAGCCCAGACGCCCCTCCGCCACGGGCGGCCCGTCCTCCTGCGGCCCGCGGGCCCTCCGACCGGAGGCGCCGGGATCGTGGCGCGTTGCGTGGCGGGGGGGGGCCCTTGCCGGCAAGGCCGGGGGCGACGGCAGGGGCGAAGAGCCCAGGGGCGAAGAGCCCAGGGGGGGAGCAACACAGTGCCGGATAGCAGCTCCTTGGAGAGTTGTGTAGGGCTGTAGAGTTCGAAGCCGGTGCCGCAGGGTGGCCCCGGAGCTCGTTCTGCCTTCCGGCAGGGCACCTCGGCGCTGGTTGCCTGAACCGGAAATCTGTCCCGAGAGGCTTTTTCTAAGCGCTCTCCCATACGTCTGCCCGGAAAGCTCCTCCAGGACCTTCGGAGGCTCCTTCCAGGACCTTCGAAAGATCCCTCGAGAGGCCTTGGACGGCCTTCTGGTGCTCCGCTATCCGGGTTTGGCACTACACAAGTATATGCAGTGGCGCCGACGGTCCATGTCTTCGGCGAGGCTCCCCAGCGAATGCGTAACGCCCGCTCCTGGGCTATTCGCCCGCATCGCCGCCTCCGTTTGTGGCTGGGGCGCGCCTCGGGGACGAGTCCGGGGGGTCGATTCAAGCTGATTCAAAGCATGGAGCGAGCTCCATCGCATCCAGCGAAACTCAATAAACATATTATTGAGTTCGGTACTGCCTGTTACCGCACGGCGAGTCCTAAAAAGTTACGGGGAGCCCGAGTCCCCCCGGGCCTGCAGCTCCCGAGCCTCCCTCGCGCGCTCCGAGAGACATCAATCTACCGCTTCCCGCGGATCAGAGAAGCCGTGCAAGGCAGCGACCCGATACATATCGAGAGGCTCTGGGGGTACCAGCCCATAGGTGGTCCCAACAGGCTCTGGCCCCGAACCAGAAGAAACTCTCAGCTTCGCCGCCCACTGCGCTCGGACTTCCAACGACGGGGTGACGACCGACTCGAGCCGTGGGGGCGGCGACTGAGTTGAATGCTGGGGACGCCGGCGACGACGACCACGACCACGATGGCGACAGAAACGACGACGGCGGCGACGACAAGGGCGAGGAGGGCGAGGATGACGAAGAGAGCCAGGTGGAGGACAAAGAAGAGAAGGGAGAGAGGAGGAGGCAAGCTAGGTGCGCTCGCACCACATCTAACATCTTACCCCTCCCACCCATCCCTTCCGATTGCGTTGGTTCTCTCTACCTCTGACAGGTGTCATAGCGGGCCAGGTACTCCCAAAAGGACGCATTGGAGGAGGAGGTGCTGCGCAGGACCCCCCTCCTTGGCGCGCGGAACGCGCCCCAGGCGGCGCCAGAGGCGCCGCCTGGGGGGGGGGCACAGCGCAGATCCAAGAAAACCGCGCGGAGCGCCAAAAGTTAATGTTGATAGCGATGTTTTCTTCATCGAGGATCAGAAAGATGATGAGCATGATGAAGAGGAGGATGAGGAGTGAGGATGAGGACCAGATGGGGAGCAGCAGCAGGAGCAGGATGGGCGGGAGCAGCGGGAGAACCAGAAAGACCCGGGGGGGAAGGGAGCGGCAAGGATCCGACCACCTCACCATAACAACGGCATGGGTGCCAAGAGGCGTCTCGCTCCACTCTCGCATTGACCCCTCCGGCCTGCGAGCCGCAGCCCCTGACCCAGACCGAAAGGTTAATAATCCTCTCATGGCCCCGCCTGGCCGCCTCCGCGGGCGGGCGCGTGCAAGGCAACGACGCTGCAAAACTGTGTGACACATGTTTGAGGTTGGTTTTGTCAAAGGTTGTAGAGCACACCCAGGCCCAGGATACATCATGATGTATCAGCGACACGGCAACAACAACCAGACCTTAGGGCGTAGGCGGTTTGCAAAAACAATCCTTCCTGGGGTTTACCACTGTTCCTGACTAATATAACCCAAGCGACCGGCGTCCAACCAGGAACCATGCGGACACGATGCCGACCCGCCCCCCCACCATCCATGTCACCAAAAATACAAACCGCACTCTGCCTCCACATTTGGAGCATTCGCGGCCAACCCGATGCGTCCTCCCCCACCATCCCTGTCAAAAAACAATGCAAAGTACACTTTGGGGCAAAGTCTGGAGTCATGTTCGTGAGGCCCGCGGATACTTTGTATTGTTTTTTTGACATGGACGGCGGGGGTGCCAGCATATTCCCCGCTGCGCGCAGGGCTACCATCCCTGACAAAAGAAATACAACATACACCTCGCGGCTAGATCATGCGTGGCCGTCCCGCGATCAGGATGGCCGCGCATGCTTCCAGATGTGTGCTGTCACGTGCGCAGGCGCACCTGACGCAATCTGCACGTGCCCCGAACATGGCGTACCTGGCGCGGCTGGAGTTTGCGGCACACCTGGCGCACTCGGAGCACGTGGCGCATCCGTCGCACCAGGCGTGCCTGGCACGCTCGGCCCCATGGGTGCCTGGCGCGCGTGGCGCCCCTGGCACGCGTTGCGCACCTCGCCTAAGCGTCGCGCACCTGGGGTCGGCTTTGGTTCCCAGTAGCTGTCCATCCAAGGACGACCACTGAAACTGCTCAGGCTCGGGTGTTACTTATGTGTTGGGAGGGCAGGTGGGGGTGAGCTAGACGGCTTGCTGGCGGGTGGGTAGCTCGATCATGGTTCCTTACTAATTAACACCCCTCCCCCACCCGGCCCGCAGCCAACCCGGAACCATGCGCACACCATGAGGGCCCCCCCCGCCACCATCCCTGTCAAAAAACAATACAAAACGCACTCTGCCTCCAAATTCGGAGCATGCGCAACCAACCCGATGCGGGACCCCTCCCCCCACTATCTCTGCCACAAAACAATACACAGTACACTTTGGGGCAAAGTCTGGAGTCATGTTCATGAGGCCCGCGGGCACTTGTATTGTTTTTCGACAGGGACGGCGGGGGTGCCAGCATATTGCCTGCTCCGCGCAGGGCTACCATCCCTGACAAACACAATACAAAATGCACCTCGCGGCTAAATGTGGATAGTGCGCAGCCAACCCGCGATCATTGTCAAGTCGTTTTTGCCATGGACGGCGGGGGTGGTGGCGTATGGCCTGCTGTGTGCAGGCCCACCAGACACAATGATGGGCATTAGTTTTTGACAGGGATGGTGGGGGCCGAAATGTTTCCCGATGTGTGCTGTCACGTGCGCAGGCGCACCTGACACACTCTGCACGTGCCCCGGACGTGGCGCACCTGGCGCGGCTGGAAGGAGCATCTGGCGCACAAGGCGTGCCTGGCACGCTCGGGCCCCAGGGGTGCCTGGCGCGCGTGGCGCGCCTGGCACGCGCGGCGCACCTCTCCCCAGCGTCGCGCACATGGGCTCGGTTTTGGTTCCAAGTAGCTGTCCATCAAAAGACGACCGCGGAACATGCTGCGGCTCGGGTGTTACTTATGTGTTGGGAGGGCCGGTGGGAATGAGCTAGACGGCTTGACCCCTCCCCTACCCCTACCCCTACGCCGGAAGACTTCCACCCCCGCCTAGAAGCCTCCTGGGAGGCGTTTAGGCAGAATTTCGGAGGCCTATCTGGACCGTGTTGGGCCCGCTGGAGGGCCTCTCGGATACCTCAGGGACTGTTGGAGGACTCTGGTGGCCTCGGGCGACCTCTTGGGAGCGGTTTCACGCCCAGGACGCTCGACACTGTTGGCCGGTCCGAAATGTCGACGGTCTTGACTCTACTGAGGCCCTCTCAGGGTGGGGTGGAGCTGGAAGCCCATGCAGCCCTCCTGGGCCCGCCTGGGCCTTGGGGCTCCCTTTGGAGCCTCCCGTTGAAGCTATCCTGAGGCCTCAAGACAAACCTTCGGGAACGGAAAGCAATACTATGCAAGTCAAGGCTATGGTTAGTGTTTTAGCTTGGCCTCTCGGGGGATGTCGAGGCCACTTTGGGCCGATCTGGAAGCTGCCTTGACGTGTTTTCTAAGGTCTTGCCTCCTCTTGTCGTGTCTTGTCTGGTCTGGTCTGGTCTGGCCGTATCTCTCGAAGGGCCTTGGAGGCCTCGAGGGGGATCGAGTGGTTGGCATCTCTTCTTCAGCGAAAGGTGGCGGAAGGATGGCGGAATCTGGAGACAGCAAAATGTTGTTGAATCTAGAAGGATATCTCAGCGCGCACAGGGATCGGGCTCGTTACGTGCCACCTTCGGCAAGCGCGTGCCGCATGTGCCTCACGCAGGGGCTCGGCTACTTTGACTCTCTGTGTGCGCGCGTGTACCACATTTGGGGCGATTGAGGGTGATCCGGCCTTGTGGTAACGCACTGTGGGACGCTGACTATTCACAGATAGCAGCACCGCTTGGACAGAAGACCCGAAACAACTCTCCACGGGGGCCGTGCAGTCTCGTCTGGGGGGCGAACTTGCGCACACTGGGCCGACGTGGAGTCAACCCCACGCCGGCTTACAGGCTCCATGTCGGCTTCAAGATCGTTCAAGGAGGCTCCGGGAGGCGAATCCTCGGGCACCGACGAGGCTAAGCAGACTAGCGCCGCTGTTGTTTTATCGATGTCCTCCGATTGCTTCCCCCAGAGGGCCCCAAGAGAGCCCCAAGGGCACCTCGAGGGCTCCCACATGCCGTAGATAGAGCTCTAATTTGGCCCGCAGAGGGCTTGAAAGACGATTCCAGAAATCTGTAAATTCACCATTGTTGGCATCTTTCTTGCTTCACTATCTGCTCTGCTCCCTACTCTTGACAGCTCCCTTGGGCATCGTTTCTGAATGCAAAAAAACAAGGAGGAAGGACAGGGGCGACGAGGAACCCGTCCAGTGCCAACGTACGGGCGTGACCACAGATGGGATCCTCAGACCTCGTCTGCCGCGGATGCAGCACCAAACGAGGTGGAGCACGTCTCAGTCCTCGAAACGTGGTGCTGCCTTGCCTTGGGCTTGACCTGCATCCCATGAGGGCGAACGACTCAGAGGGAACGATAGAGGGGGCAGGCTCATGGGGGGGGGGGGGGGGGGAAACATCGAGCTTGCATCGGAGGTACATCGCCGATAGATCGGCGATGAGCTCCCGATCTAGCAAATCCGCAAGCTCCCAGGATGGATGGGCAGCGAAGCCCTTCTCAGCGAGAAATGGGCGACCGGGGGTCGATGCATCGCCCGTGTAAGGTTGCCCCCGAGTGGTTCGGGGGGCCAAAGCTCGGGCCCCCAGCACCCGTTCGGGACGATCCTGGCCCCCCCAGAACGCTCTTGGCGAGGCGCAGCCGCTCACCCGTCTCCTCCTCCTCCCTCCTCCTCCTCCCTCCTCCTCCTCCTCCTCGTCCTCCTCCTCCTCCTCCTCCCTCCTCCTCCCTCCTCCTCATCCTCCCTCTCCTCCTCCTATCTCCTCCTCCCTCCTCCTCCTCCTCCTCCTCCTCCTCCTCCTCCTCTCCTCCTCCCTCTCTCCCTCCTCCTCCTCCCTCCTCCTCCTCCTCCTCCTCCTCCTCCTCCTCCCCTCCTCCGGAGGCCCGGCCCGAGGCCAAAAACTCAACGACGAACGACGAGAACGCCCCGAGAGCCTCGAACCTCCATCGGCACCCGTGTGCTCCTGGCCTTCCAGGGGGAAGGGAGCGGCGCGGAAGGGCGAGAGCGGGGGGGGGGGCTGCGCCCGCCTGGGCGCGCGCCCGGCGCCCGTGCTCAGGCGCCCGCTGGGCGCGGCTCTTTTCTTCTATTGGAGGGGGCGAAACAGGAGGAGGAGGAGGAGGAGGAGGAGGCGGAGGAGGAGGAGGAGAGAAGGAGAGCAGAAGGAGAGAGGAAGGGGGTGGAGGAGGAGGAGGAGAAGGAGGAGGAGGAGGAGGAGAAGGAGGATGAGAAAGAGGAGGAGAAGGAGGAGGAAGAGGAGGAGAAGGAGCAGGAGGAGAAGGAGGAGGAACACGGATGAGGAGGAAAAGGAGGAGGAGGAGGAAGAGACGGAGAGGAGAGGAGAACAAGACTCAACGGGGAAGCGCCGGCGCCGATCTTGGTCGCCGTCCCTGCCGCCCACCGCCAGTTCGTTAAATCGGCGGCGGCCGGAATGGATCGTGTCCGAGATCGGCGTCGGCCAGATCCCGCGCCATCTTTGTCATGGTCATCGTGCTGCTTCCCTCGGCTTCACGTACCCTGCGGAAGCGCTCGCCTGCGTCGATGCTGCCTCACGGGCCACGCCGCCTGTGGTTCTGGCTCGCGCGCGTGCCCTTCGCGTCGAGCGCCAGGTTGACATGCAGTCGGACCGAGGCATAAGATCGAGGCCGGTTCGGGGAGGGTACCCTAGTGTTGTTCGTGTTTGTTGCGTGTTCTCGTGCATCCTAGGGTGGATGTTCTGCTTGTTCGGGCCGACGAGGGTGGATGTTCTTGGGGGATGTTCTGCTGACCTGGGTCCGACTGTGCTGATATCGTGAATCTCCGAACGCAGCGAAATCAAGGAAAGGGAGCATGTCAGGCCTGACGCTGGTTCAGGCTGCAGTCGGAGGAGCGGAGGGGGAACAGGGGGAAGGGACACTGGCGTTGTGCGCGCATCCCCCATGGCAAAACGAGTATCAGAGAGAATGAGGACAGCACAGAGCTTATTACATCTGATGCGGCGTCGAAAGTGAGACAACGGATGACCAGAATTTCACCACGCCGACAGTGGGAGCAACAAGGCTTAGTATCACCACGACTCGTATTCTCTATATCCGAAGCTCGGATTGCGCATCCTTACTCACTCACGCATTCACTCGCTCCCGCCTCTGTCTCCCTCTCATCATATTCAGATCACTCAGACTCAGATTTACTCACACTCAGAGCACTCAGCTCACACGTAGATCACTCATACTCAGATTCACTCACACTGATTTTCACTAAAGACACAGAAAAGTCAAACTCAAACTCAGAGACGCATACCACGAACAACATTACAATTCGCACTCACAGCAGAACTTCCGCAACACAGCAGGTGTGGCAATTGGACAACCGAAGGGGGCGAACAACCAGGGAGGGGGGGATACTGCCCGTTCGCGCCCAGATTTGGGGGATGTCTCCGCGGTTCGCATTCTGCTGCCCCCCAGACCCCATTCTTAAGGGTCCAAGGATCATCCCGATGCAGCGGGCGGAGCGTGCGGGCAGGGGGGAGCCGCCAGGAAGCGCTCGGTCGCGACGGGCTAAACTTATCTCACTCAGACATTCGCAGACAGGAGTGCCAGAAAGTTAAGATGCACAAGTGAGGATGTCTGTGCCGAATCTGTATCATCCCTGGCGTGCGCCGGGCGACGACGACGAAGACGACGACGACGACGAAGACGGAGACGACGAGGACGACATCCTACCGCCTCCTCCTCCTCCTCACTCGTCCCGTCATTCTTATCTTCCTCCTCGCCCTCCTCCTCCACCACCTCCTCCTCCTCGTCATCCCTCCTCCTCCTCCTCCTCCTCATCCTCCTCCTCCTCCTCCTCCTCCTCCTCCTCCTCCTGCTCATCATCATCGTGTTCCTCCTCCTCCTCCTCCTCCTCCTCCTCCTCCTCCGCCTCCACCCCCTCCTCCGCCTCCTCCCCCTCGCGCCAGGAGCCTGTGCGGAAACGGCAGCGAAAGAAATGAGGGAGGAGAAGCACTGGGCAGTCCAAAAACTGATTTTCTCATCACCTCCTCATGCTTCCCCTCCCTCTTCTCCGTCTGTTCCCTCTTCCATACCGTTTGGTCCCCCTGCTCTCCCCCCCTCCCTCCCCACCCACTCTCGCTTCTCTTTCGTCTCCTAGCGTAGCAGGCGCAGGAGCGAGTACTGAAAGAGGGCAAGGCTGGCTAACCTACAAGGAAACGACAGGGAGGAGGATGCGGAGGAGGAGACGGAGGAACTGGAGGAGGAGGGGGGAGAGAATGAGGGAGACGAGAAGAAGAGAAGCAGGGAGAGAGGAGGAGGAAGCTAGGGGAGAGCTGATGGAGGAAGGAGGAGACGGAGGAGGACGAGGAGGAGGAGGAGGAGGAGAAGGAGGAGGAGGAGGAGGAGAAGGAGGAGGAGGGGGAGAGAAAGGTGAAGAATAAGAAGAAGAGGATCTACCAGAAGACGCAGGGAGCGGGACAGGGGAGGAGGGAGGATGAGGGAAACGACCCCACGACGACGACGACGACGACGACGACGACGACGACGACGACGACGACGCCGCCGCCGCCGCCGCCGCAGCCGCCGCAGCCGACCTCCGCGCCGTCGCTGAGGGCCGCCGAATGTCGACGAGGCAAGACGAAGGCAGGACCGGGACGACGTCGGATCGGGATCCTCGCGGGGAGATCCCCGAGAGCCGGCGCTTCTGGAGGCATGCAGTCGGGCGCCACCGCCGCTCCAGAGCGCTCCGAGAGCGCTCCGAGAGCGCTCCATATGCGCGCTCCCACTGGAGCGACTGACCCACCAGTCCCTGGGCCTGCCCGACGTGGGCCTCCGAGGGCCGCCGGTGGCCGCCGGTGGCCGCCGAGGGGGCCGTCGACGTCGGGCCGACGGGCGGGAAGAGCACGCCCGCCTCGCGCCCAGCGAGCCGCCGCGCCCCGCGGCGGTGCCGAGGCGCCCGCCGCCGGTGCCGGGGCGCTGCGGGGAGGCGGCGTCGTGGGGCCCCCCGTCGTCGTCGAGGGGGCGGGGCAGCAGTGGGCTCGGCCAGGCGAGCGAGGATCAGAAACGTGTCTGAAGCGAGAGGACGCAGCGACCTGACGCGGTGGCTTACGCGGGCCGCCAGCGTGGCACGCTATATTGGAAGCGAGGGCGCTTACGCGCGAGATTACGCGGGCAGCTTGCGCGCCGATGTCGGCGCAGACGACCCCATTTTTTTGCACTGCCCAGGGGCAGATTGGCCAGGCTACGAAGTCGGCCAGCTGAGCTCGGCCAGGCCAAACTCGGCCGGCTGACCCCAGTCAGGCTGAGCTCGGCCAGGGCCGAGGTCAGCCTGGCCGAGCTTCGCCCTGCCGAGTCTTTCGCATGTCTCGGCGGCGAGCGAAGGGGGGGAAGTGAGAAGGGGCGGGCCTTCTCAGAAGGCTCGGAAGTCCCCTGGCCTCGTGAGAAGTTTTATGAGCCTTCCCCGAAGACAGAGAAAACCTATCAGAAGGCGCGAAGGCTTCTGAGAAGTCCCGCCGCCTTCTGAGAAGGTCTCCTCCTTCTCAATTCCCCCCCTCGCTCGCCACCGATTGCATCGGTGATGCATCGCTGATAGATCGGCGATGCGCCCCCCGTGGCGAATCCGCACGTTCCTGGGCGGGGCGGTCCATCCGGCCCCCGCCGGCGATCAATACGGTCGGACCTGGGCCAGAAGAGCACCCCTCAAGAGCATGAGACCCTCCGCCGGCCAGAACTCCCATAACATCCAAGGGAGCCCTCCCCAGGAAGCACGAGGACATCCCAGAAACACGAAGAACGCAAAGGTGCCCCCCCCCAGAACCGTCCTCGATCTTATACCCCGGGCCGACTGTAGGCGATTGGGGATTGATGCGCCCCCCCCCGAGAAGATCCCCCTACCATTGCCCCTGAGTCGTCCGCTGCTGGCCGTTGTTGTCGCCGTCGCTCTCATCGTCGGCTTCGGCGGCGGTGTCGACGTCCGCCGCCGCCGCCGTCTCTTGTGCTCAGTGGGCGCCTCTGAGCATCCGCTGGGGGCCTCTAACACCTGTGAGGCCTCCCGGGATCCGAGCGTCACAAGTGTTTCGCGCTGGGCAGTCTCGCCCCGGTTCGGGCCCTGCAGCCTTCACAGATCGGTCCGGCTCGAGAAATAACGCAGGAAAATGGGGTCTACAGGGCCTCCAGTCATGATCGTTCACGATGCTGCCACTTGTTCGCGGCATCGGATCTCAGGGCAACCCCCTGTATCAAGGCAGCGTTTGGCGAAAACGACCTGGGGCCAGAGCCCGCGGACGCAGGCCCACAATAACCGTGGCCGCAACACCCTCGCGAGAAAGGAGAAAGGGCAAGTCGCTATATATGTATATATGTATGTATATATAACGATATACATATATATATAGAGAGAGAAAGAGAGAGAGAGAGCCTATATTCAGACTAGGTACTGCCCATACATAGACTATCCATATACTCTACATAGTTATACCTATTCTATACATAGTCGATATAGATACCAAAGAACAAACCCAATCAGGGCTATAGGGCTATGGGGGCTATAGGGCTATAGGGCTATTGAGCTATAGGGTTATAGCTATAGGGCTATAGAGTTGTAGGGCTATAGGGCTATAGGGCTATAGGGCACCCCCGGGTACCCCCGGGCACCCCTGGGCACGCCCAGGCACCCGGGCACTGGGTACCCCCGAGCACCTCCGGGGCACCCGGGCGTGCAGCGAAAATCGGCGGCCAACCTCACCCCTGGGCACCCCCGGGCACCCGGGCACCCAGGCGTGCAGCGAAAATCGGCGGCAAACCTAACCTAACCATATGAATCCGCTAGGACCCCTAAAGAGGCAAGCTCTGATTGGGGAGTATAGCTATATATAAACTATGTATAAGCTATAGACTATATTATATAGTCGACTTGGCAGGGTTGGGATTCAACCACGGACCCCCCTCTCCGCCGATGACATCCTTTTCCTCTGCGGCCACAGACCTGCCGACCCCTTCCCCACGGCCAGCTTTCGCCACAGATCCACTTCTTACGGCCCCGGGCCCCAGAGACGACCCCCCGCGGGCCGAAGCCCAGGACAGGCTGCCGGGATCGAAGAGACAAGCTTGTCAGAGATCCGGGCCCCTCGCCGAGGTCTCTGGAGGTCTCTGTGGGGACCTGCGCGGGGGCCTCCGGCAGGGGCCTCTGGGGGCACTTCGAGAGAGCTTCGGGGAGCTTGCTCGGGAGACCTCTTAAGGTCGTCATCGTCGCCGCAGCCGCAGGCGTCGTCGTCCATCATCGTCGTCGTCGTTCCACCCCGCCCCCCTCCCCCTCTGCTCTTTCTCTCTCTCTCTCTCTCTCTGTCTCTCTCTCTCTCTATCTCCCTCGCTCCCTTACTCCCGGACCTCCAACGCACTGACAGAAAATAAGGCGGACGTGTGTTCGCCGTTTTCAGCCTCTCGAGGACCTCTCTGGTCCGGGCCCCAAGTCCGTAAAAAAAAAACTCAGGATGAACAGGCGGCCCGAGGGAAGGGGCGAGATCCCCCGGGGGCGACGTCACGAAGCAATTGAGTCGGAGGATCGAGAGGGCCTCCCTCTCCCCCATACACTTGCCTTTCCACCCCTCTCCCTCTGGCGCAAAAACTTGTGGTGTGAACAGCACGAGGGAGGATGTACAGAAAGGCGCTCCCGTTTCATCTGATCCTCATCTGCCTCCTCCTCCACCTCCTCGTCCCCCCTCCCTAAGTCCCCCATATCAGTACGGCGATGGTTTTCATCATGTGTCGAACTGCCCGCATCTGTAAGGTTCAAGCCCCGTACGATGTCCTTTCCCAGATCGCAACAGAGGCGAGTACAGCTACTCTTGTCAATGCGACTACGAAATCGAATGCCCACTCATGCAAATCGTATCCAGATCAAGTCCCCTCAGCAAACAAAGGCGGACTACATACTATGAACTGTGTGACAACATTCCCCGGCGGTTTCTCTCGATGGGATACATGCTGGTGGCTGGCACGTGAAAGCCGACAACGCTTCCAATACACATGCGCAATATGAGAGTTCCTGGACCAACGATCTCCCTGTCATCAGACCCGAGCATATACCATCACTTGGGCATAGGCCAGTGGGCAGCTACTCATTTCCAACTTAGTTGGTCTTTGATTCACGCTTCAGGCCTCTTTCTCCTCCTGCTCTTTCACAGCCTAGTCCTCCTCTCCCTTACCGTTTTCCTCCTCGCCCTCGTCTCTTCACTCTCCTTCTCGTCGTATTCCTCAGCGCCCACTCTGCCTTCGTCATCCTCCTCATCCCGCTCGCCCTCCTCTTGTTCCCCATTCATCTCCGCCCTTGGCACAGATGTCCTTGCAAGCCTTCTCCGTCGCCACGGCTCTGATCCTCTCCGCAGCAGCCTGGCGGTTCAGGCGAGGGAGAGCCACAATCTGCGAAATACAGAGACTGTCCGCCAAGAGAATACATAGCCGACCTCCAAGCGCCAGAGAGAAAGATCGAAAGGGAACCTGCGTGTGCATCGCACCGGTCCCTGGAAGGTCATCGGCGCCCCTGGGATGGGCTCGGCGTGCAGATTTCCTTGGGAGACATGTGCATGTCGCATGTGGAGCACGAGGAGGAGGAGGAGGAGGAGGAGGAGGAGGAGGAGGAGGAGGAGGAGGGGGAAAAGGAGGAAGAATCGGCGGCGGTGGCGGCGGCACAGTAGCGGCGGTGGCGGCAGCGGCGGCGACAGCAACAACGCCGGCAGCAACAGCGGAGGCAGCGAGACCGCTACTCCCTGGACCTCTCTCGCGGTGCGCTCTGACCAGAATCTCGAGGCGAAGCCGGCGGTGGCAACGAGGGCCTCCCAGGAGACCCCACAAGGCCAAGGCGAGGCGAGGGCCGCGGCACCGGTGCGGCGGCCAAAACGACCGAAAAAGGCCAACACGAGGCGAGGGCAGCGGCATCGATACGGCGGCGGCCGCAGCGGCGGCCGCAGCGACTGCGGCAGCGGCGGCGGCGGCGGCGGCGGCGGCGGCGGCGCGGCGACACCCGTGGGCCTCGGCCGCCGCGCTGGCGTGCGGCCCGCCGGCCGAGAGCGCGGCGAGGAGCGCGGCGGACTGCTGCCGCACGTCCCCGCTGCGGTGCTCCGAGGCCTGCCGGGGAGGGGGGGGGCGGGCCAGGAGGCGCAGGGGAGAGGTCAGGAAGGGATTTCTTGAAGGTCTTCGCACGAACGATCGAAGCTTGTCGCGAGCCCGGTGTAGGGGCCACAGATCAAGCCTAGGACTACCCATCGGCGCAGGGAAGAGGTCAGGAAGCGACTGCTTTTTCCCCGAGACACGATGAACAAGGAGACAGCACACAGCGGCGGCATACCCATAATGAGGGTAAACAGTTGAATGCTTGAAGTGCATGGTCCACAAGATCGGGTCGCGTGGTGTTCCTGGTCTGCCCGACGAGCTGTTGCTTCACGCGGAACCCTTGTGGATCACTTCGAGGTCAGGACGCGACTTCGGGAAGGTCCTCGCACGAACGATCGAAGCCTGTCGCGAGCCCGATGTAGGGGGCCACAGATCAAGCCTAGGACTACCCATCGGTTGGAAGAAGTAGGTAGAAATATGAAGTAGAAAGGCGTTGAAAGTAGATGGGGTTCCGTCCGCCCCCTAAGGAGGACAGGAAAGGCGAAGCCACTCGATCATTGAAGTAGGAAGGCGCTGAGAGTAGATTGGAATTTGGGGATTCCAGAATACCTACTTTCAATTACCGATGGGTAAGCCAGAACAAACAGGATTCAGCCACATTGAGCGGCACTGTGCCAGATCAGGCCGCTCTTCCACCACGGGTACATACCAGCGCCGATGCGGATTTCGACCTCCCAGGAGTTGCACCCTCCTGCTAAAAGGCGCCGTGGGGGGCGGATCGGGCGGGCAGCGGGGCGCCATCGCTGGGGGAGGGCCTGCCGGGCGGTCGCTAGTTCGCCAGCGCGGGAGGAGGTGCTCGACGTCGGCGGTGTCCGGGGAGGCGGGAACACGGGGAGCGCGCGGGGGGGGTCCCTTCCAAGCTGTTTCTCACCTCGCAGCGCGGCAGAGGCGATCCGCACGCGCGCTCTAGTTGGCCAGGTCCCCTCCAAACAGGCGAGTGCCCACTCTTTCTTCAGGGCCCCAAGCACAATGCGGTGACGGACCGTGCGGTGGCATCGGGACCCCCACAGGCCTCACCGCACGGTCCGTCACCACACGGTTGCGGGAGCCTGGAGCCCCCGATCGCCCGAGACGTCCTCGAAGAACGACCCAGGTCCCAGCACCGTGCGGTCATCCCGAATCCCCACTGACTCACCACACGGTCTGGTCACCGCACCGTTTGGGTGGCCCCGACGTTCGCCGGAACGCATGCACCAGCCCGTGGCCACCAGAAGTCACAGCTGCGCGCCCCAGATCCAGAGGAGGCCTGGGCCAGGCCCAGTCGTTCCCATAGCATGTGCACCCCCCTCCTTCTGGGTGAGAAGGGAAGTGGCACCGCAGGAAACAAGTGTATGACATATACATGCTTACCATGTTGCTTAGCAGAGCCAAGAGAACCCCAAACTTTGCGAATGCCAATGAGCGCTGTTATTCTATGCACTTCTTGTTCCTGGACCCCCAACCCTTGCCTGCCGTGCAAACAACTCCATCCCAGTGCCCCCACAAGAGGAAGCAAGCACACCCCCCGAAAGGATGAAACCCTCGTGGTCTGCCCCACGCAGGAGGCAACTCGCTGGCCCGACCGGCCACAAGCGTTAGATTCTCAACACGGGTAGCTCGGATAACAAGGAAATCGTGTTTATGTCTAGTCCTTGCGCGCGCGAGGGCGACCCTGGAGGGTCTACAGACCTCACTAAAACCAAAACATCGGGGCAAACGCGTGCGAAAACCCTCCAAGAGCGCCCCAATAGTGCGCCACTAGCCTCCAAGAGCCATGATGGACCGACCCAAGGCGACATAATGAGGCGTCAATGTTTGCCTTAGGCTGGACCAGGAAGGTCCAAGCTAAGCACATGGACTTCAACGACAGACCAAGATAGCCGAGCATCCCCTCGTCGGAGGCTCCCAAGATGGCCAGAGCCATAAACAACAAAAGGCCATTGTGTGTGTGGTATTTAAACTCCTTGCCCCTGTGGGATCCAATCGGCTTCTCGGACCACGCAGGATGCCCATCAGGGCCCCATGAAAGCCCCAGGAGGGCCCAGACACTCCACAAGAGAGCCCCAAGTGGGGCACAAGAGAGCCCCACGAGGGCCCAAGAGCGGCCCAAGAGCACAGGTCGATCGCCGCGGCGCCTTCAGATTACCCCGACATGGCCCCAAGACGCTCCAATGGTGCCGAAATGGCCGAAGATGGGCCGAGACAGCCAGCTGGAAGGCAAGCACGGCCATTGATGGCCGAGATGCCCCCCTTCGGCGGCCCCCAGGACGACAAGAGTCTGTAAAAACACGTATGTGTGTTGGTTGCGCCGGCTCTCCTTTTGCGGCTCTTCGGGCCCCAGAGCGGCCCCGAGAGGGCCCCGACATAGCCCTGAGAAGGCCCTGGAACTCCACGATAGGGGCCACATAATGCCCCAAGAGAGACACCTGAGGGGACAAGAGCGGTCCGAGAGCGCGAGCCAATCGGCACCACGCCGAAGGACTTCGGTGGCAACTCATGGTAGCCTCCCGTACCATCTTGTCGGCTCTTGCGAATCGACGCGAATCGACGCAAACCAACGCTCGTCGACGCTAGCCGATGCGAAATCGGCGCTATCTCCTCGACTCCCAGACGCTAAAACGACGCTAAAGACAGAATTACGAGGGTACACATCTTAGCTGCCCCGATACGCAACACGCAACACGTAGCGTCTGGATACGGAGCTCAACACGTAGACTGAAACGTTGGTCTGAAGCGATACGTTCGCCAAAACGTGGGCCAATACGTGGAGCCAACACGCAACGTGTCGACACAGACGTCTTGCACACGGGACGTGTTGCGCATCAAAACGGGCGTATCGAGGCAGCTAAGGTACACAGGGCTCCCACGATTTGCTACCGACAAAGACTGCCCCGAGCTGGTCCCAAATCCATCCCCAGGAGCGATCAGAGGCAGCACCCTGGACTGCGCTGAAATTCGCACAGGAACGCGGATCCTGGTGTATACGGGATCCTGGTGTATACATGTTTCGCTGTGTCCCTTGGAAAACGGGGACAACAAGTATACACCACGCCACCCCGACGTCGCCCTCGACCCTCAAAAAAGTCCTGACATTGAGAAAAACCGCCCGCCACTGGTGATGTTCATGTTCCAGCTTCCGAGACAAGGACTGCCCCGAGCTGGCCCCAAAGCCGCCCCCAAAGAGCGGTCCGAGGCAGCACCCTGGACTGCAGGTCCCGCGGGCCCCCCCTTGCGGGCCACCGGGCTGCGAGGCTCCCTGCCCCAGTGCCCAGTCTCCAGTTTCTCCTCCTCCTCCTCCTCGTCCTCCTCCTCCTCCTCCTCCTCCTCCTCCTCCTCCTCCTCCTTGTACGATATTCGGCGGCGAGCGAGAGGGGAAGTTTGAGATTGAGAAGGCCTTCGCAGGCGGCGGGGCGTCTGAGAAGTCCTCGCGCCTTCCGAGAAGATTTCTGTCTTCGCGGAAGGCTTAGACAACTTCTCAGACGGCAGGGGGACTTCCGAGCCTTCTGAGAAGGCCCGCCCCATCTCACTTCCCCCCCTCGCTCGCCGCCGAGTTATAGTTCGGCGTTCTGCTTCCTGCTGCGTACAACTAGTGTGCGCGAGGGGGGAAGGCCGAACACCGCCCTGGTCCCCACCATCGATTCTCGTTACCTGAATTTCTGGAGGGGCCTGGGGCACGCACAAATACAGCAAATTCCCCCGATGCCCGAATCCATAGAAATTGCCCCAAATAGCGCCCCCGAGGCCCGAATCCCTTGTAGTTTAAGCCGGCTTCGCGCTCCCGAGGCCAGAATCCAGAGTCAAGTACACCGGAATAGCGTTCTCGGGGCCAGGAACCCCTTTAAAAACTACGCCAGGTTCGCGCTCCCGAGACCAGAACCATTTGCAGATCGGGCCAGGATAGCGATCCTGGGGACAGAATCCATGCACAATTGCAGCAGATCCGCGCTCCCGATGCCAACATCTGTCGTGAAAGGCGCTCGATGCGCGCTCCCGCAGCCAACCTGTAGCATACGTTGCGCGAAGCTCGCGCTCCCCAGGCCAAAATGCTTTGTAAACTACGCCAGAGTTAGAATGCAAGATGCGCCGGCGGAGTGCGCGGAGCGATTGACGCCGGCGTGCCTCCTGCGGGCCCTGGCCGTGTGAACCCACTTGAGTAGATGATGAGGTGGAGGATGGTGGAGGGAGAGTGAGGTGCATGCGTCAATGCATGCTGGGAGCGGCCTCGCGCCTGCCACCAACCAGTGAAGCGTTGATGATGCTGATGATGATGCTGATGCTGCTGATGATGGTACGGCTTCTGCTGATGATGATGATTCGATGATGATGATGATGACGACGACGACGACGACGATGATGATGATGATGATGATGATGATGATGATGATGGAGATGATGTTGATGATGATAATGTTGATGATGATGATAATGATGATTATGCTGATGATTCGATGATGACCTGATGAAGCCAAAGTGAATCACTTCTCGTGGGACGTGTGAGAAGTACAGGTGAAATGCGCCACCCGAGCCACGAAGGCTTCAATCCGGCACACCACTCACTCAGTTCCTGCGCCCCCAGGCCTCTGGACGCTAGGGATCATTCGCAGCTCAATTCTCCCTAGGAGCCTCAAGTCGGCATACCAATCACGCACGACGCGCGTCACGGGTGCTCAGACTCTTCGGCGCCCACAAGTCGACACACTCCTTACGCATCTCGTGCCCCCATGCACCTCCAGAGGCGATCTGTTGGACCCTACTCGGTCGAAGGAAACCTGAATTCGGCACACCCCTTACGCAACAGCCGGCTCCAGAGACGGCTTATTCGGGCCTCAATTCGGCACAACCCTTACGCATTTAGTGCCCTACGGACCTCCAGGGATGATCAGCTGGCCTCCAAGACGACCCTCGCACCCTTCGTGGCCCATGGACCCACGAAAGCCCTCCGCTGGCTCCTAAGGCCGCCTGCCCCCTCAAGCAACGCCAAGATAGCACTGAAACAATTTTTTGATTCGCGGGTCGAGAGCGCACCTCTTCCGGTCGAAGCTAAGCGGGCCGCGCGAAGCTTGAATTAGCCACTGAGGGGGAGGAGAGGGGGAGATAGCACTGAAACAAAAACTGCAACGAATGGTACGCTCGGCCTTGATTGGGACAGGACACGCGAGAGGACACAAGACCCGTCCGAGGGCCACACTGCCACAGGAATGTCGGAGGCGTGCGCCGCGAGGCACAAAACACGAGGGAACCCTTGATTCAGCAGGATCGGCCCACTACTCAGTGCCGACTGCATCGGCCCTCGTCGAAACCGTACTCCCACCACCCGATGAGAGCACAGTCTGCGTGCGCATGTCCCCAGGGGGGTGCCCGCCGTGACTCTCGCTCTGCGGGCTCCGTGCGGCTGGCCGTGGCCTCGCCGTGCGAAGACTCCAAGGGCAGATGACGGAAGGGAGGATTGTCAACGGCAGATGACTCAGGGTAGATTTAGGTCGGGCATGTCCTCCTACAGGCGGATTTGGACAAAACATAAAAAAGACATGTTCAAACATAGTCAAACATAGTCCAAACATCGTCCCCAGACTATGTTTTACCATTTTTGAGTATTCGCCCTGTAGAGGGACATGCCCGACTGAAAGGTAGATGTTCAGATTCACGGCAGATGATGACAAGAAGATGCATGCGTAAATGCATGCTGGGAGCGGCCTCGGGCATTCCGCCAACCCATGCCATTTTCATTATATTTCGGTGATGGTTTGATGAAGTCGGTATGTATCAAGTCTTGTGGGGCGTGTAAAGCATACAATTGAAATGCGCCCCCAGGGCCACGAAGGCTTCAATCCGGCACACCAATCACTCATTTCCTACGCTCCCCAGGCCTGAGGCAGAAACATCAAGGGATTCGGAGCTTAATTCTCCCAGGAGCTCCAATTTGCCACAACACGCACGCACGACGTGCATCACGGGTGCTGGGACTCTTCGGTGCCTTTCGCCAAGTCGTCGGAAGCGGGACCTCATGCGAGCGCCTTCCGTTCGCTGGTT